CTGAGTTCCTGCAAAGCGAAAGCAAAAGTTAGGAAGCGACAGGATGATCTTGTTTCATGAACAGAGTGTCAATCGTTTTCTTTCTTTAAGAAATTATTCGCCGACATTTCTCATCGTCTCTAGTTGCAGTTTCGCGCGCATATGAATTATCTCTTGGTTCCCACTTTGTCCCCACATCATTGTTAGGAAAAACATCGAGATAAGAATTTCACTAACCACCTGGATAGATAGGGAGTGTTGAAATCATGTAACCTCTAGTAATAACACACGCAGAAAACGTTTTCCCCCAACAATCATTTCAGCGCTCCTCGGTCGCTTTTACGGCAAAATTCGAATCGGGAGCGATTGCTTCATAAAGATTTCTTTTCCCAACTGAAAAACGCAGCTTCAGAGGTGGACGCCGGCACGCCGACCTCTATGATAAAGCGTTGTCGCAGTCGGGAGTGAATTGTTGAGATGAGCTGGAGCGGTGGTCTCTCACACGGTTTGTGCCTCGTTTCGGTGCTGAGTGGTGAGAGCGCGATTTCGCCCTTTTCGTTTCGCTGGCATCCATCTTGAAATCCGAACGGCCCACAAGGTCATATCGCCAGCCCAGCAACACCTCACTAGATAACATCTAGCCATTACGAATAAGCCGATGCAAAGGTCGGAGAGACTGGGATGGCGGCGAATTTCGGAAATTCGCGCCTGCTAGACGGACTGCATTGTGCGACGAACGCGCAGTGCCGAGTTTGCACTTTCTAGCGGTTTGTACTCTCATATATTTGCATGATTCGGGGGTGTCGAATAGTCCATTCGGTTGAAGTGTCGCGCGCGCCCAGTTGAGATGTGTCGAGTTGCAAGGAACGAGGAAACTGGCGACGATCGAGCCTCTCACCTCACCAACCTGCTTTATGTGGGGGAACGTCGACATCTCCGCGCCGTCGCTGTTGCTGTGCACCTCGTCGTCGTTCGGCGTCGGCGAGTCGGAGCCGCCGTCAATGCGGCTCTCCTGAACACGAAGCTTGGCTCTCTCTCGGAACCGACTAAGCCCGAACTCACGTCTCCGTTGCTGCTCTTCTGACAGCTCTCGATCACATTGTTGAAGTCGAACTTCGGCCGAAAATCCGGAAGCATCGTTGGAATGCTCGGCACCTGAGAAAAGAATTTAAATTCGCCAGAAAGATGACAGGCATCCCATTCCACTCAAACACCTCACACACCTGTTGGTTAACCTGTGTGTGAGCGGCGGCTAAGGCTGGCCGACGGGTGGATGCACGCTGATTAGCAAACCAGTTACAAATCTGAACAATCAACTTAGCACTGCGAAAAACGACCTCAGTGATTTGTCTCTAGAGAAAAGATAAAGGTAAAGGGAATGCGAAAAAAGTGGAATTGTCTTCCGAGTGCGTACAATCGCATTACAACGACAGCTTGGCAGTGCAAGCATAGAATTGATGTGGTCTTTTGTGATCATGTGCTCATCAATCATATAAAAAACTTGATAGATGGCACTTTTTTCACATGGAAACAAAAAATTGATGAAATCCAATCTTATCATGAGATTGTAATTCTATTGAAGGAGTTGAGCTGATTTTAGGA